AATTTTTCGGCAACTTCCGACCACCAAAACGGATACCGTTGAAAAGCTCACAATGTGCTCTTCAATTACCATAAAAAATCTCCCCATAACTTCAAGGGATTCGACCGAAATATACCCACGAAGTCGGCTATCGAAAAATCTGAAAATCTGTCCAGATTTTCAGTTTTTTTGAGTGGGTTTGCGGCAATTTTCTGGCAACTTTCGACCACCAATGCCGTCGATTTCAAATACCATTGGAAAGCCCACAACGTCCTCTTCAATTACCACCAAACATCTCCCCATAATTCCAAGGGATTCGGTCGGAATAAACTCACGAAATCAGCTACTAAAAAAATCTGAATATCTGCCCAATTTGGGTAGCTGACTTCGTGGGTTTACTCCGGCCGAATCCCTTGGAGTTATGGGGAGATTTTTGGTGGTAATTGAAGAAGACATTGTGGACTTTCCAACTGTATCCAAATTCGGCGGTTTTGGTGGTCGGAAGTTGCCGAAAATTTGCCGCAAACCTTGCCCAAAAAATCTGAAAATTCAATGACCGTTTGTGATAGAAATTTAAACTTCAGTGACCGTTTCTGCAAGTTTTCAACTTCAGTGACCGATCTGTGATTTTCAAGTAACTTCAGTGACCGTTTGTGAAATTAACCCATTAAAATAAATAAAAGGTACAAAAACATTAATACCCTTCCAACTATATAAAAAAAATATCTTATAACATTTCGAATTTAAAATTAACAACTCTTTCATCCATTTTGAATTTGAGGAAGGATATTATCGAAAATGAACATGAATCAACTCATGAAGTGGACCATAATGTAGATGATTTGTGGATACAATGGAGATAGCTTGGAATGATAATGTAATTATTTCGAAGAGCGTTTCTATAGACAATGATCTCACCATTACACACACACACCCTGAAATAATTCAAGACAGTAGGGAGAAAATTTCATTTACAATCCAGGATCTCACAAGTCAGGTGAGGACTCACAAATTGGGCCAAATTCACGATTTTCTCGCACTTCACACTTGGTCTCTATAATGAAGATTTGCATGTTGATCAACCATCTGACACCAATAGAGATTTTAAAAAAGTTGTGCACTTAATTGCATTAAAACACAACTAGGAGTTAATAGTGAATAAATCAAACTGGAGTATCTACACAATATTTATGTGTAAATGAGAGCTGCAAGTGGCGTTTACGAGCAACGAAGGTCGACTTAGCTAATTTTTTTGTAGTTTGCAAGTATACACACGAACATACTTGCTTAGTGCATGTACATCGTAATAATCATAGACAAGCAAGATCGTGTTCTATTGGAAGATATATATGCACAAGTCTTGCATACATCATTCAAGATATTTGTCGGGAAACAATATGCACTACTATTATTGATATATCTAATAAATATACAATCACTTGTTTTAGGACCGATTTTCACTTGTTTAGGCTTAGGTACTTCAACTTTAGCCAAACATCCCCACACTTTCAAGTGTTGGTAGGAAGGAAGATGACATTTTTATAGTTCATAAGGAGTTTCTTCCATTTTCTTAAGGTGTATCTTGTTAAGAATGATATTGCCGATAGAATAGTTTCTCCCCACAAGTTTTGGGATAGACACGAACTTATCAACATAGCGTTCATAGGCCCTTTATGAATTCGATTTTTGCGTTCAGCAACACCATTCTATTGGAGATGAGTAAAGTGTCGTTGTTTGATGAATGATTCCATGTTCAAAATAATATTTTTCTAACAGTGCCCCGAATGCACCCCCTCTATCACTACGAATATTTTTTATTCGTTTACCAAGTTGATTCTCAATTTCTGTCTTATAATAATTAAATACATCTAAAGTTTCGTCTTTACTTCATAGTAAAAAGACATAACAATACTTTATACAATTACCAATGAAAGTTATAAAGTATTTGTTTCACCTTTAGGTTGAATAAATTTCAAATAACATATATCGTTATGTATTAACTCTAAAGGTGTCGTGTTCCTTTGAACCAAGTGGAAATGTGTTTTGGCAAACCTTGCTTCAACAAATACTTCACATTTATGATTAGGATCAATTTTAAGCGTTGAAATTAAACTTTAATTCATATGTTTGAGCATAAATTTGTAATTGACACATCCTAATCGACTATGCATAAACAAGATAACTCATGCATATAAACAGAATTAGAACTTTTATTCATAATGTATTTTGGTATAATTGTAAGAACGTTCATTTTGAACATTTCTTCACTAAGATAGCCCTTACCAACATACATATCATTTTTGGTAATTACGAACTTGTCTGATACAAATATAAGTTTAAAGGTTGCTAAGTAGAGACCCCGAAACCAGGTTCTTGCGAATATATGGCACACTGAGTACATTATTGAGGACTAACTCTTTCCTGGAAGTCATTTTCAATGTGATCTTTTCAAGTCTTCCAACCTTCAAACTTGTAGAGTTTCCTATGAACAGTTGTCCTTCTTTCAATTCATGTAATTTGAGAACATGGTCTTATCTGCACAAATATGGTGGGTAGCACCAATGTTGACACACCAATCCCTTGGATTACCAATCGTGTTGCATTTAGAAAAAATCGCGGATAGACTCATCTCTTGAACTCCTTTCGAAAGGGTGTCTCTTTCCACTATATTTGCTTGTGCAATCTTCTTTGGCTTTAACATTCGTTTGAACAATGTACGACTTTTCCACAATTGTAACAGTTGACTTTAAACTTATTGGCATTCTTGGAGCTGTCTCTTCTTGGTGCAACACCAGAGATCTTACGTTTCTTGTTGAAGACATTCGAACCAGTTTCAACAAAATTTGCTCCATATTGAAGAATAGATTTTCTTTTGGTGTTTCTATTGTCTTCCTCAATTCTCAAAGAGACTATCAATTCCTCCAAGTTCTTCTCCTTGCGTTTGTACTTAACATAGTTCTTGGAATCTCTCTACGTATGAATGAGTTTCTCAATGATGGCTGCAACTTGGAAGGATTCACTCAATTCCATCTTTTCTGCATGTATGTCATGAAGTAGAACTTGGAATTCCTATACTCGACTTAAACCAAATTCCAACAACTTCTTCAATTCATTTGAGGATTTACTAATTCAACATGATGCCTAATTCTAGTTGATGGAACATCCTCGAAAGCTAGATACGTAAATAAGTTGATTACTGCGAATCATTTTAACATGACAAATAGCATTTTAACACTGCTTGAAAGTACCAAAGACACTAGAATGAAAATTAAGTTTGCTAAGCAGTGGAGTTCTTTGCTTCATTGAGCAAGTTGACATGAGTCTTGAGATGTTCAGTAAAATTTCCCAAGTTAAGCAATTTGACACAAGTTTTGAAATATTATTGGGAGTTCCAATGATTGAGCCCGAACCGTGAGAATTTGATTGGTTGCTTGCTTGATGCTCCATCGGACATGGCCTGACCAATCCTGGCCGACTAACTTTGGATCAGAGGGCAAAGGAGGTCGTTATCTGATCATTCCAAATGAAGATGTTCAGATGAATGTGTGACCATATTCTGAACAAAAAATAAGAGAAAAAAACATATGTCAAACAAATGGATCTGACATAATTCGAGAATAACTTTAGAAAATAATGAAATAGATGATTGGAGCATATCTAGGCTTAAAGAATTTTCTCTGTGGAGGAGTATGCCGTCCTAATTTCAATGGAATCATCTATATTTTCATAGTCGGTAAACTTTGTCGAATTTTACTACACAAGACTTTCAATGTAAGTAGCACGTCAAATAGTGATACATACTTTTAATTCATGTCTCTTTTCGTTATGTTATAATTTTTCAGTATCTTATTTATTTCTTGCTGGCCTAAGTCTATAATATTCGACACATATAGTATGATTCTGCTAGGACACCTCAATTCAGACAAACCAATTACATCAGAATGTCAACATCAAACAAGAATACTTTTGTCTTTCTTTCAGTGCTTCGTATGCCATTTCCATTTAGTTTGTTATCAAAATAATGTAAAACATCCACAGGGAAACAGAAAAAGTTCTTGACTTATTACTTCGTGTGGATTAATCCTAGACTACACTCATGTCTCCTAAATGATCGTCTTATGAAAGTTTGGTACGACAGTAGAATGAAGTAGATTTATCTTATTTTACGGTAGGAATCTGTTGTGCAAAATATATTTAAATATCTGTTTCTGCCAGCAATTTCTTTGGTTTTGTGAAGCTGCTTCTGCTCATTCTCAGTCATTCTTCGACATCGTCAGGAGTGGACGGGAAGCATTTTGAAAGAAGATAAAAGAATATGGAATCTCTCTGCAGAAGCCAACAAAAAAAAAAAGACAAGATTTCAGTATCTAGGTTCAAGATTTCAGAATTTCTTATCTTGTCGAAGAAAAGAAAGAAAATCCATGCATTCCTTTAACAGCATTCGGAATTCTGAACAAGTATTCGAGCCAACTTAAGTGTCTCAGAGTCAGAGGGGGCGGGCGAAATGAGGTAAAACCTGAAAAAATCTGCAGTACTACATCAAGTTCTCATGCATTATCTGCTGAAAGCATCATGAAAATAGCAAGAAAGAGATTGCTTGTGCATCCGGCCTCTGAGAAAGTGGATGATTCTTCAGTCTAATGATTCTTATGAAAATCAAAGAGGTGAGAAACTTATTTTACGTCTTCTTGTTACTGTGAAGAAGTTTTGCGATGAGCAATTTGATGACGCAGAAAAATTGCTCGGTGGCCGTTATCTCGTCCCTTCAGCAGCTGGTACTTCGTTTCAAAAAGTAGTCAATATTTTTGCTCAGGCACTTCTTGAGAGCACTAGTATAGAGAAAGGGAAGACCAATATCCAGAGAAATTCAGTGGATGTGGAGGTTCTGATAAATCTATAACCTTCTGAACTTGCACATGAGCAAGAACCTCCCTTCTGTCAAGTTACTCAATCTACAGGGATTCAAGTCATTTTAGACACTGTTTCATCAGCTATTCATTTGGTTGATTTGGGATCAGAACGGGCTCGCATTGGACAATGGTGATGCATGCTCTTGCTAATCGAAAAAACTGTTCGTTGGAGCTTCTCAAGATAACTGCTGTTGGGACATCGACAAATAGGCTTGAAGAGACAGATCAGTGGCTTTCATCTTTTGCAAACTCGATGAATCTACCTTTCTCATTTAAAATCGTGTTGTCAGAAATGAAGGATGTTAAGAAGGATATGTTCAAGTTGGAGGGTGATGAAGTGGTGGCCGTGTTCTTGAAGATGTGTCTGTGGTCCTTATTATCATGCCCTAATCATTTAAAGATTCTATTAAGAGTGATTAAAGGACTTAATCCATGTGTGGTGATGGTTACTGAAGTCGAAGCAAATACTAATACGTCATCTTTCATGCACCGTTTTTATGAGGCACTCGTTCTTTTCAATGGTATGTTTGATTGCCTCGAGACTTGTCTGGAACAAGACAAACAATTTAGAAAGGCAGCCGAAGAAGGGCATCTAAGGGAAATGATCCAAAATATTGTTATATCCAAGGGTGAAAGACACGATTATTCGAAATGTTAGGATTGATTCTTGGAGGGAATTGTTTTTGAGGTTTGTATTCTGGAAACAGAGTTGAGTCCTTCATCCTTGAGTCAAGCAAATTTGCTAATTAACAGATCTGGTTGCTTGAGTTTTTGTACTCTAAACATGAACGGAAAATCCATTATTGTGAATTGGAAGGGAACCCCAATGCTGTTTCTTTCTGCTTGGAAGCTCCAATGTGATTGAAGGAAACCAGCTACACTCCACGGAAAAGATGAAATGGCCTTTGAAACGAAAGGGTACCTATACCCGAAATCGACAGATGGGTTAGAATGGTGTACTTCTATGGATAGCTTAGACTACTCAAGGATGTAAGAGCTATACCTTTTAAGAATGTACCGAGTTTTATTATCTAGTATGTAGACATTATCCCTTCAGAAATGCATGCGTTTTGTGACTGTCATTTCATTGATAAGGGAAGAGTTTAACATTCATCAGGGCATTGAACTCTGCAATTCCACAAAAGCTATTAACATATTGGCATTGTCCATAGCATGTTCAAAGTTTAACATGTGGTGAAAAAATACTGAACGAACAAACCAGAAAATGTAGCAAAGAGAACCCTTCTCGCCCTTGTATTGGATTTCAAATTCTTCATTTCCAATTTCATGAATACCTTGAATGTGCGGGAAGTTTTTTTTCCAGGGAATTGAAAATGGGTTTCGGAAACAATGTCCAGGAGAAAAGGGCCTGATTTCGTCCAAAATCACCAACCAACCATGCGAAGAACCTACGGCAATCTTGAAGGGAATGTACAGCATTCAATTGAAAAACACTATTTTCTGAAAGACTGGAAAAGAAGTTCTGGTTTCTCCGTCTTCAGAAAAGACGAGAAGTGGAAAGTTTAAACACCTGACATATTGGAGGCGTTTGTCTGATTTTTCTTTTTTGTACATTATGTGGCGAAATATCCTGGAGTCTAAGACAACCATTATCGACATCTTGGTGGTGCTAAAATTCGAGTCGTTGATTTAAAAATAAAATAAAATGGATTAATGTGATGTTATCAAATGTAATGTTGTTAACCAAAATTGTACAATTAGCATGATTCAAATATAAAATATGGAAAAATAACAATGTCTGGTGGAAATTAAAATTAAATTTTTAACAATTTTTAATAAACATTAATAAAATGTGTGATTGAAAAATTGTGAATCCCATTAAACCCCTGTTTGACATATATTATCTCAAAATAGATTTTTTCAAAATTCACATTTTTTAATAAAATAATATTTTTCATCACATCAATAACTTTTCCTTATTTTTTAACCACATATTTCTCATCATATACCATTTAAAACACATTCTTTCCTTAAAAATATCTATCAAACACCCCCTAAATATGTGATTAAAATTAATTGTTAACTTTGACTTTAATAAAAATTTAAAGTGTAATTTTTGGATTCATCCCGTTTTCAATATATAACCTCAAAGGCAACATTCATTATTAGTAAAAAAAAAAAAAAAAACTCTTCGACTTTTATATATATACCACAAAATTAAATTTTTGGCATCAACATTTCTTATTCTTGCCATATAGTGACAGTTTGCATTTTATGTTGAGGGCAAATGGTTGAAATATTGAATAATAGTGGACCAGTTTAAAGAAATTAAGTTATTGTAATGTGCATTGCAGTGATGTTTAGAGAAAAAAAAAATAGCAATATTTTCTAGAAAACACTCCATTCAAAGAAAGGTAGATCGAATAGCTTCAATAACAATGAGAATGATTTGCATAATGTTTAACATTACCCATTAACCAGCCACATAAGTTGATGTTGCCTAAGTTATCAAGAGTAAGTTTTCACCTTTTACAATTTCAATCCCTCCAGCGGTGACCACAGTTTGGGTTGCAGCAAACGAAGAACAAAGTCATGCCTTCTTCTCCCCTAGCAGTTGCCTGCACAATAATCAAAAGGAGAAAAAGCATGTGAATAAAATCCTTTAAACCCATGTGGTCATATACATAGGATCTAAATAAAATACGTACATAGACACTTTGCAATATGCCAAGAATGATAAATTGACAACTTTCATCAAAGCAGTAACAATATCAACTCAACTTTGTCCAAAATATAAAGGAATATTAGCTACAGGTTATGGGAAGGTTAAGACTCGACTCAAACTGAGAAATACTTCCGCTGTGCTCCAACTAGTAACAACTTTGCATAATAGCAATGTAGAGAGACAGCAATGTTTAAAACTAGTAGCTTCCAGTAATAAAATTTAGAGCAGCAATAATACCTGAAAGAAAACAGCTTCTCCATGACCACAATTGGAACAACGAACTGCTTTTGTACGGGGAAGAGTAGGATCTGCAGCTACGTCCTGCAAGACCTGGGTGCGCTCCCCAGCAGAATGGTGTATCTCATTTCTGTAGACACAATTGTTATCAGCAACCTCCTGCACGGTCGTATGTCGAAATAGAAATTAAACATTAAATGAAATCTACCTACCGTCAAAAGCATTTTTGCTTAAAAGGAAGAAATCTATTAATAAGCCTCTGTTTGGGACACATTAAAATTTGCATTCTCATTCTTTTACTCATTTTCAATCACACATTTTTCAATAAAATAATATTTTTAATCACGTCAATAACTTTTCCTTCCTTTTCAACCACACATTCTCCATCAATCTACTATTTCAGAATACATTCTTCAAAAATAATGTGGCTCAAACACACCCTAAGAATAAACAATTGCAAGGTGCTAAATAAGAATTGGGGTTGGAACTAGAATGAAGCTTGTCAAAAGGCTTTGACGGTTGAAGATGGCACCGTAAGTCCTCGATACAGAATGAAAGAAAAAAGCTAAACAAAAATCTATCTCCATGCTCTGCATATTCGATGAGGCCAATCTGGCAAGAGAGACATGTGTCTTGGCCAATGGGCAGGGGTGAAGCCAGGACTAGGATTCAGGAGGCATGACTTAATTATAGAAATAATTTGTAAACAACACAATAATATAATAATATAAAAAAATAGTTGCTCGTGGATTTTCGTACTTTCTAAAGTTTACATGGATGTTTATCAACTACTCAAAGTAACGCTTTCAGATTTATGAATCCACATCCCTGTCACATCAAAAAAATACAAATTCTACAGTATTTCCAGCTAGAATAAGTTGATTTCAATTGCAGTTTCATTTATCATATTTTCAGTGTGTGTGTATGTAGGAATTCTTTTAGATTTTCTAGTATGAATATCCTGAAAATTTGGTTATTGTAAACTGGAAATTCAGAAGAAGAAAAATACTGCAAAAACCAAGAATTTTTTTATTATAAAATACTGAATCAACATATTATGAACACTTAAAAAAAAAAAAAGAAAAAGAAATAAAGAGTGCAGCCATAGTTGGGATTGAATGGGGATTAAATGAGATTGTGTAGCACAGGAAGTGGGGTTTGACTGGGGGAATGCGAATTTGGGAAGTGGGAAAACTGGAAATGCAGAAAGAGGTGAGTGGGTGTTGATGTTTTGAAGCCCAGGATGCAAAATCTGTTTGCATTTTCAATGTGGTGCTTTTTCATAAAAAATAATATAAACTTTAAAAAAAAGAAAATGGAAAAAGAAATTCTCAAAATCTAGTGGGGGCACCACCCTCCCTCCACCACTGCCCATGGGGACAAGAAATTACTACTCTATCCCACAAAAAGTCTCTACAAACGTACTCGCACTCAGATATTCAAGCATTACCTTAATCGAACAAGCACATCCCTATAAGATCTTACCCTACTAATCATCCTAACGCCCCACCTTCCACCTAAAAAATGTAAAATTTTGTTTCGAACAAATCCATCAACATTCAGTTCAGCACTAAGTGCTTAACATAATGCATCTATGTATCCACAGAGCAGCAAAACAACACATATGAAGGGTTTCCAGGGAACAAATTTGTGACCCCAATCATGTACTAGATAAGAAGTAAGACAGATACAAATATGATTGTTTTTCAGCTTAATGGAAACCCAAAAAATGGCAGCAGGAATTGAAACCAGTCATTAAGAGTACTTAGAGAAGAGCATTGAACAAAGGATAAGCTTAAATGAAATTGGAAGGCAGGCATGTAGAGTTCTCATAGTCTATGGGGAACAGTTTGCTAGTATTGCACTGTATTCATAAAAATGAAAATAAGGCATGCCATATAAGAACTTAGATCGTTAAGTCTCGCCAATGTCGAACTCCCTAATGTTGTATAATAACTTTGTGCATCTCTGTAATGGTAGTCGAGATTTAGCAAGCATGTCCTATAGATGGACACTAATGGTCTTGTTGTGCAATGCTTGTTCTGCCACGAAGGCAAGGATATCAACCTTCACTTATAAGAAGGGCCCTCAGTTAATCACTTCTTTCTTTGATAAGAATCAATCAAGTTAGGATGAATAATTTTTAAAAAATTTATTTTCTTTATTCTTTCCAAATCATTTCCGCGAGAAATAGACAAACTTCACAAGATACTAAACAACCACAACAATTAGTCTATAGTAACAGTAGAAACAATTAAATAACTTTAATTGCCATTGAGCAAACTGGCCAAAATAGCTTGTGTATACCTCGCCCGTGCCAAAAGCATGGTGCCCAAGGCCCCAAAGATCCACCTTATGTGCGCACTCTCCATTTTTCTTTCACATACAAATACATGAATGAGAACAAAATTTACCAAACATCAATCAGTCAATCAATGTCCTAAGTCTCAAAATGTTCTAGTCCCTAAACCCTAAAGCTTGGCCCCAAAATGTTTTAGTTCCAAAACACTACACCTAGTATTGCTCAACGTTCACATAAACAATCAGATAGATAAAATAAAATAAAAAACATGCATAGCAAAGCTACATTCTGTGCTTGTGTGTGTGTAAGAGAAAGAGGGAGAGATTTGGGACCTGATGATCACAATTGCGACAAGCATAGAGGAGGATTTTCTGTTCTTTGTCTTCCCTCGGGTACAATATATTGTTACTGCATATATATAAACACGTGTGAATATAGCATCTGAGAGGTGAATTTCCCAAATAAAAGCAACAAATAACAATTATAATAGCAAAACCCTGGAATTTGCAGTACAAACACAAATGCCCACTCACTCGTAAATTCGTGTGAGTGCTTAAGAACAAGGCAATGTCATACCATTCCCGACAAAATTTCATGGTACTCATCTTGGAAAATTAGCAGATTTACAAGTAATCACTTGTTATGAATTTGATCTTCCCCACTCTCTCTCTCTCTCTCTCTCTGCGCAGAAAATCCGTGCTTTGTTTTCGCTGGTAATTTCAATTTGGGGTTGGTAGGCGGTAGCATGCATATTTTGTCTAGGGTAAATTCCTCCAGAGGTCCCCAGCCTTTTCATAAGTGGTGGCATCAAATTCCCAAACTTTTTAACATTTCGTGAATGGTATTTGCACTTAACGAAAAATGTCTATTTCGACGTAAAAATAAATTCTTTTTTTTTTTTGTACAAAAAAAGAAGATGTTATTTGATGGCACGATTAAATGCAAAATTGACTCGTTTAATTCTGCATTTCATTCACATAGATAGATGTTCCCCCAAAAACAAAATGTGATTATTCAACTTATGTTAAGCCTCTGTTTCGTGTAGCTAAAAATCAATTTTTCAAGTAGATTTTTGTAAAAGTTTATGATATGTGTGGTTAAAAGGTCGTTGATCTCATAAAATATGTATTAAAATTAATTGGTAACTTTAATTTAAATTTTAATACATATACCAAATTGTAAATATTTTATTTTAAAACAATTATATCTTTTCATTTAGACATCGAGAGCGTGTTTCATGGACATTTAGCCTCCGTTTGACATTTATTATTTCAAAACCTTTTTTTACGTACTCATTTTCAATCACATATTCAAATAATAAAATATTCTACAAGTAAATTCAATTTTTTTCCTACTTTTTAACTACACTTTTTTCAAAAAATACTATTCAAAACTCCATTTTACCCAAAATAATGATTGTCAAACAGGAGCTGAATGTCTGTTTAGATATAAGTAGGAAAAGTAAACACGTGTTCAAAGATTGGAGATGTGCCTGCACACATGAAAAGTTGAGGACTTCACAGGAATTTACTTTGGTTTGGGTACGATGGGCCGAGTTTCGCTCAGGGAGACCAGTTTTTGGGCTCTGTCCCTAGGGCTTTAGCCTTTAGGATCGAGCTTCGGCTATTACATGGTTAAGAGAAAATGGAAATTAAAATTTGGTATAGATTTAAGTGAGGAAAAAATGAATTTTTTAAAGAATATATAATTAAAAAGTAAAAAAATTGTTAAAAATAATTTTGATGAAAAATGCTTTAAAAAAAAAACTTTACGAAAAAGTCGTAGGGAACAATATAAGACTCTTCAGTAGACTGAAAAAATTAGTACCAATTTCTGAACTTGGGAAAATAAAATTACAACTCCATGAAATGTTTTATTTCAGATAGAATTTGAAAAAATAATTTGTTTTCGATAAATAATGTTAATATTTCATTTATTCACCTTCGTTTCACAAATCAAGATGAAATTTTCAAGTTGCTAGTAAAGAGAGATTCAGCATGCAAAGCCCTCAGTGTCAAGAAGAAAGAGGCCAAATGAAGACCATAAAAATAGAGGGTAGAAAGATTCTAAACTTGGCATAAATGGGTGCCACGATTTGCAAGCAACTGCTATTAGGCTTTTTTTTTTTTTTGGGGTGGGGGGGTTATAAATGCACAATCCTACTTCGAAAGAAGACACGAAAAATAGAGTTCATTTCAGTCATCTCCAGAATTTCAGTTAAAATAATCTGAAACCTGAGATGACAAAGCCTCTGTAAAACCTGTGCACTGCCGGTCAGGCTGATCCTACTAGAATTCTCAGTTAGAAACACATGATGAGAACTAAATTATCTGCTATCAAACCACACAAATAGGCATCAAGTGAAAACATTGAAGCACACAAACACCCTCACTTTCGCAAGTTGGAACACCTACGCCAATCTACTTCATTATGACATTTTAGCCTAAGCATCACAATTATCATTAAGTTTAGTTCACATTTCAACACAAATTTAAAGTAATAATATGAATTTCCTGAAACAGTAAATTTCAACAACAGTTTCTCATACATCTAACCAAAGTACCAGGGGCATGAGTCTAAAACAGGCTATAGGCGGAAAGTTTACATACCACTAGTTTCCCTTCACAGGGCAGTTAAACTGGAAAAGCTAAACAAAAAAATCACAATCAGAGTATGATTAGGAGTAGAGAAAATAGTAAAAACATTACATGTAAAAACACTCCAGACTGTTCAAGGGGTCAAAAAACCCAACAAGAATAAAACAGATACCACAACACAAATATCCCTATTCTTCCAGTGTGCCTCAGTGCTTTCTGCTATGCCTCCTGCTCCCACTGCTCTTGCCTTTGCCTTTGCTTTTGCTCTTGTTCTTGCTTCTTCTGCTCTTGTCCTCTGAATCAGATTCTGAATCTGAATATGAATCAGATGACTCTGATGAGGAGCTGTATCTCCGATGGCTTCTCTTCCTTTGCTTCTTCTTCTTGTTCTTCCTCTTTCTCCTCCTCTCCTCCTCAGAATCAGTCGATGAACTATAACTAGACTCACTCTCCCCCGAAGAATCATCAGATCCGGTAACTGATGACGCTCCGCTCTCCGACTCAAATACTGAAGCCTCACTGCCGTTATCAGACTCGGTGTCTGATTTATGCTTCCTCTTACTCTTTTTGTCACGTTTTTCGTTCTTTTCCTCCTTTTCAATATCTGGGTTGTCCAGATCATAAGAAATCGAAACCTTCATCCTAAGTTTGGGGTTTTTCAATTGCTGTGTACGTGATGGTCTTGAGATATAAACCCTCTCATTCTTGCACTCATATGTCCAGTGCCCAGTTTGGAAGCACTTCTGACATTGGGAAGCAGTCCCAAGGACGGATGTTGAGGACTTGAGATCTTTTCTTTCGCCCAATCTCACTTGTTTCTCAGTGCTCATCAAATACATTTGCCTCTTTGCTTCTTTCCGCTCTTGCCATCTACTGGGCCCCTCTTCCTTCTGCCCATATGCATTCACATTCCGAGCAGCAGCCGCAGCTGCACGTTCAGCCTGAGCTCTGCTAAGACCTTTTGCAGCAGATAATGCTGCAGCCTTGATTCGTTCAGCTGCATCCTGAGAAGCACTCTCATCTTTGTTATTCGACATGTTCAACTATTATTATCAAAATACAAGAGACGAACTTCTTCTTCCAGATATAGTGTCTGTATTGGAAGGAAAATATGTTATAATCACAATTTAAAATTCAGAAAGACATTTTCTATTTTAGTTAAAAGCAAAGTCATTTAGACCTGAATTAAATCCAAAATTCAAGATCATGCATTAGTTTAGGCTATTCAAATGTGTTTTGTTTTGTCAAACACTCCACTAGTCATTGTATAGTTACTAGCTGTTACATGGAAACTTGTATAAATTCACAATCAGTACACACGGCTTGATAAGCCAACCATTCAAAATATTTTCCATATACTTTGTGTTTATCTCCCAGTACATATATAAAGACACATACTTCCCCAAACAAAACATCAGTTTCTTCGTTGGAAAAAAAAAAACCCACTGATATATTGCAATAAATTGGGCAAAACTGTAAAAGTATCCCAAATTAACAGAAAAAAAAAATTACAAACCAATCAAATTATTATTATTCAGAAACAAATGAACTCGACATTAGAAAGTAGATAGTCCCTCTAAGGTACAGAAGCCCTAAAATTTGCACCCGAGAAACATGAAACGCAATTCACAAAATTCTTCGGTTTATTAGCCACGAATCGAAAATAAAATAATATACATCAAGCTCGAAAGTCAATCAGGATAATCGTTATGAAACCCTAGAATAGACTTTGTAACCGTATCTAAACTCTACTCAGACAAGATCTAAACAATTTGATAGCTAGAACGAATGGCATAAAAGTTCATACCTTTGCTTGCTTCGAATAAAGGAGTGAATGAATGGTTGAATCGACGCGCAACGATGTATATGTATAGGCTGTACGGAATGACAAAGATATTTTCACATCACGTACCCCTGAATTTTGGTTAATTATATTTATAGCCCACTATTTCTCAATATTTCGTGATCTCACGTTCACATGGAAAAGTTGAACTGAATAAAATAGAATAGAATTTTTATATGAATTGGCCAATTTCGTTGTTGGAACTTGGGAGATCATTCTGACCTACAATCAGTTCGATGTTCAAAGTAATTTTCAACTTTTCTAGTTGAATACTTCAATCTTAAAAACCTTTTAAAAAGTTAAAGAGTTGTTTGTGTTTCAATTTTTAATTTTGAATTTCGAATTCATTTTGAATTTTGTGTTTAGTGTCCATTTGGAATTACGGAAAACGAGTTTTATTTGTCATTTTGAAAAATTATTTTCACAAAAAATAAAAAAATTAGCTTGATTTTAATAGTTTGATTTTAATTGAAAACAGTCAAAACGACTTTTTTGACATTTTTCGTTTTCTTTGTAAATTTTAAACTCGCTTTTGAAAATTCGTTTCTATATAAATAAACATGTTTTCAATGTTTTCGAAAATTAAAAATAACCTAAAAACAGCAAAGAGAACATACCCTAAATTTCTTGAAACCTAAACAAAACTTATTTAACATGTTTTAGAACACGTTTGATTCTCATTATTGTAGAATGAGAATGAAAAATATAACCGTCATTGAGTCTAGCAGAAGAGATAGAAATTTAAAATTGATGACTTAATGTAATCAATAACAATCATATTTTTCATTTTTATGGATGAAAAATGAAAAACAAACGAATTCTTAAACTCGCTAATTTGTGCTTATTTTATTTATAATGAAATTTTGAAACATTAAAAAGTTAACCCGTATATTGATTCTCAGTTTGATGTAAAATTTTTAACTTTCTCCTCGACAAAAGACACCTAACTTTTCAAATGAGAAAGTTTGTATTATAAAATAATTGCATAATCAATCCTAGTGACATAAACCATTCATATACTCGTTAAATTATCACGCAATCCTCGGCCTCGAACTATATCAAAGCTTTGTCATCGACTACAAGTTATCATCTAAAAAATGCCAGATCAACCCCTCGTGATCGACTAAGTCGTCGCCAGTAATCAGCTCTTATCGTTGGTGGCTAAGGTTGAGTTACGTTACAATAAAAGCATAAGTGAAGCATAACTTATTAGTCAAATTGACCACTAGAAAAAAGTTCCAAAATTTTACCAATGCCTAGAAATGAAGTATAAATAAATAACTCTTCTATATCGAAGCAAGAGAATTAATATAGTCAAAACATATTTATTTAGAAAAACAGACAAAATGAGCCAAATGCCAAATACTTGAGGATATGCCTGCATCAGGCAAGTAAGAGATGACAGTCAACAAAAAGGGGGAACCAAGTTCTTAAGCAATTACATCCCACTCTGCATCTTATCTTAGATCATAAAAAGATAATAAGTGGGGGAAACTCAGAATATCCCCGTGAGGAGATTCGCAACAGTGGAGATAGCTGCCCCTGTTATAGCACATTGCACTATCTGCTCGTGAGAGTGATCGTCTGACGTCAAACCCAATGCTGCTCCGGTGACTGCTCCAGCCAATGCACTACTTTTCTGCACCAAAGTCCCACAAGACGATCACTATCTTTCCCGTTTATTAAGCACATGCCCACCTTGTCTAAATATTATCCGCCCATTGTAAACTACTTTTTGTTTTGTTATAACGACGGACAACTGATCTACTGTCAACCTTCCATCACTTCAGATTGGAATTTCCTAAAATGTAATCATTTTTGAACTTGTGGAAGACGAACACGAGTGAAACTTACAAACTACAGGATTTTCATTTTTAGTCTCTCCCTGGGAGAAGGGGGTAGAGACTTAACAAAGCTACATTAACGAAAGATAGCTACCTAACCTGCTCGCAAGAAAAATACATATTATAACAGAAAAATAACAAGGCTATACTGTCGAGAGAGGATTTTGAGCATTTTCCTCTTTTCCTCGCGTAGGCACATGGGAGTGTGTTTTAAATTTACGCTAACGTGTTGTAAAGAAAATTTAAAAAAATTACCCAATCGTGAACTCCACGTGCCTCTTTCAATCCATAAGTAAGACCTGAATACATCCCTGCAGCTATCCCTGCAAAAATAGAAAAAGTAAATTAATGGAAATCTTCAGTATCATATGAGGAAAGGTGGTCTTACTATGTACATAAAGGTACATAATGCCACATGACACTCTACGATTTGCTAATTTAAAACACACAACTTTTTCATCCAATCGTTTTCCTCCACATCATTTTATGTAATCCTTTATATACTAATTTTATGCACAAATAGCATAATCCTATCAGGAAACGAAATGAATTAACGCATACACTAAGAGAAAATTGTAAAGCATTAAATTTTGACAACCAGAGATGGTGATGGCAGTTATCAAAACGACTTTTTTAACATTTTCTGTTTTCTTTGTAAATTTTTAACTCGTTTTTGAAAATTCGTTTCTGAAAATAGCTAAATAAACATGTTTTCAATATTTTTGAAGATTATAAATAACTTAAAAATAGTTAAAAATAGTAAAGAGAACATACCCTAAATTTCTTGAAACCTAAACAAAACTTATTTAACATGTTTTACAGCATGTTTGATTCTCATTATTATAGAATGAGAATAAAAAATATAACCGTTATTAGATCCCACATAAGATATTGAAATTCAAAATTAATGATTTGATATAATGAATAACAATCATATTTTCATTTTTATGCGGATTCTTAAACTCGCTAATTTGTGCTTATTTTATTTATAATGAAATTTTGAAACATTAAAAAGTTAACCCTGTAATTGAATTCTCAGATTGACTTAAAATTTTCAACTTTCTCCTTGACAAAAGACACCTAACTTTTCAAATGAGAAAGTTTGTATTATAAAAGAATTGCATAATCAATCCTAGTGACATAAACCATTCATATACTCGTTAAATTATCACGCAATCCTCGGCCTCGAACAGTCGAACTATATTAAAGCTTTGTCATCGACTACAAGTTAGCATCTAAAAAATGCCAGATCAACCCCTCGAGTCATCGCCAGTAATCAGCTCTTATCGTTGGTGGCTAAGGTTGAGTTACGTTACAATAAATGCGTAAGTGAAGCATAACTTATTAGTCAAATTGATCACTAGAAAAAAGTTCCAAAATTTTACCAATGCCTAGAAATGTAGTATAAATAAATAACTCTTCTATATCGAAGCAAGAAAAATATAGTCAAAACATATTTATCTAGAAAAACAGACAAAATGAGCCAAATGCCAAATACTTGAGGATATGCCTGCATCAGGCAAGTAGGAGATGACAGTTAACAAAAAAGGGGAACCAAGTTCTTAAGCAAAATTACATCCCACTCTGCATCTTATCTTAGATCATAAAAAGATAATAACTGGGGGAAACTTAGAATATCCCCGTGAGGAGATTCGCAACAGTGGAGATAGCTGCCCCTGTTATAGCACATTGCACTATCTGCTCGTGAGAGTGATCGTCTGACGTCAAACCCAATGCTGCTCCGGTGACAGCTCCAGCCAATGCACTACTTTTCTGCACCAAAGTCCCACAAGACAATCACCATCTTTCCCGATTATTAAGCACATGCCCACCTTGTCTAACTATTATTCGTCCATTGTAAACTTCTTTTTGTTTTGTTATAACGACGGACAACTGATCTACTGTCAACCTTCCATCACTTCAGATTGGAATTTCCTAAAATGTAATCATTTTTGAACTTGTGGAAGACGAACACGAGTGAAACTTACAAACTTCAGGATTTTCATTTTTAGTCTCTCCCTGGGAGAAAGGGGGTAGAGACTTAACAAAGCTACATTAACGAAAGATAGCTACCTAACCTGCTCGCAAGAAAAATACATATTATAACAGAAAAATAACAAGGCTATACTGTCAAGAGAGGGTTTTGAGCATTTTCCTCTTTTCCTCGTGTAGGCACATGGGGGTGTGTGTTAAATTTACGCTAACATGTGTTGTAAAGAAAATGAAAAAAAATTACCCAATCGTGAACTCCACGTGCCTCTTTCAATCCATAAGTAAGACCTGAATACATCCCTGCAGCTATCCCTGCAAAAATAGAAAAAGTAAATTAATGGAAATCTTCAGCATCATA